CGTCCATCATCATCTCTTCTCTGGATGCGAGGTTGTCTCTTTCTCTCAAACAACGTAGGTCCTGTCGTGCTTCAAATGTGTCCTTAGGCTTTCCATACACACCCATAAAGCCTAGCAGGTTCACACAAAGATTCTTCATCGGTGCATCACGTCGATCGAGCTACGGACCTCCGGACTTGCCAATAGGGTAGGTCCCAAAATATGGACTTCTTCTTCCACATGGGTGCGTGACCGTTAGCGTCTTTTGGAATAGGTTGGCTTCCATGTCCTTTTCCAAAGACGACTTTCACATCATTGACCATATCGAGTACATCCTCACCGGTTCGGTTATGAGGCTTGGTCGTGGTCTCGCCTTCCTTTAAAATGCTTGCCTTTCTTTCTTCTGGGGTGATTTGCGGAAGAAATCGACGATGGCCAAGGTACACGACCTTTCGACATTTTTTTTTCAAGAATACACCTCTAATATCACCGAAGCAGTGTGTGTGCATGCATTATATCCCTTGTTTGACTATCTGAAAGATTACTTAGAGCAGGCCAATCATTGATTGTTACGAACAACAATGCTCGCAGATCAAAGTGTTCCTGTTTGTACTCATCCCACACACGTACACCTTCTTTATTCCACAAAATGAGAAGTTCGTCAATAAGTGGTCTCAGGTACACATCAATGTTATTGCTAGGTTGCTTCGGGCCTTGGATGAGCACAGGCATCATAATGAACTTCCGCTTCATGCATAACCAAGGAGGAATGTTGTAGATACTTAGAGTAACAGCCAAGTGCTATGACTACTGCTCGCTCTCCAAAAGGATTGATACCATCTGTACTTAAAGCAAACCTTAAGTTTCTTGCGTCATTTGCAAACTCAGAAATCTCTCGTCGATTGCTCTCCACCGGGACCCATCGGCCAGGTGTCTCAACATATTGTCTACCTTACGGTCTTCTTTGTGCCATCGCAACAATTTTGCATGTTCTTTGTTTTTCGAATGAGACGTTTCAAGCATGGTATTATAGGAGCATACCACATAACCTTGGCAGGGATTTTCTTCCGTGGACGTTCGCCCTCAACATCACCAGGGTCATCTCGCCTGATCTTATACCGCGACGCATGGCATACCGGGCATGCATCCAATTTCTCGTACTCTTTGCCACGGTACAAGATGCAGTCATTAGGACATGCATGTATCTTCTCTATTTCTAGCCCCATAGGACAGACAACTTGTTTTGCTTCGTAGGTAGTGGCGGGCAATTCATTGTCCTTCGGAAGCATCTTCTTTTGAATTTTTAGTAACTCTCCAAATCCCTTGTCAAATACACCATTCTTTGCCTTCCATTGCAGCAATTCTAGTGTGGTTCCCAACTTTTTCTGCCCTGCATCACAAGTTGGGTACAACAATTTTTTGTGATCTTCTAGCATCCGCTCGAACTTGATCTTCTCCTTTTCACTTTCACATTCTCTTTGTGCGTCACGAATGACCTGAGAAAGATCATCACCGCTCATCTTCTGCGGCTACCTCTTCTTCACTTTCTCCCATTGCAAATCATTGAAGCACGCACACCATCGGGAATAATATCATTGTCGTCCCATTGTTCTTCTTCACCTTCTTCCATTACAACACCGGTTTCTCCGTGCTTTGTCCAACAAATATAGTTTGGCATGAAACCCGACTTGAACAAGTGTGAATAAAGAGTCCTTGAGCAAGGATATTCCACCGTATTCTTACATATGGCACATGGGCAGCACATGAAACCATCGCGTTTGTTTGCCTCGGCCGCACGTAACAAAGAATGCACGCCGTCAATGAACTCTTGGGAGCGGCGATCAACATTATACATCCAATGACGGCTCATCTGCATTACATGACATAAATACCATATTAAAACCTAGATCATAATTAATTATTTATACAACATGCGTGCCACCATAAAAGATACAAATTTATGAAAGCATCGCTACAATGTAGACAATCCCAACTACCACTAAAAGAACTAAAGCTAAAATACATTTCAGTAGCAGTAGGATTTCACGACCAATCTCAACTAAAACAGACAGATCCCCCGATTGTGCAACATCTTTGTGCTTCTTCGGCTGGATCACTGCCTCATTAGCCGTCGTATCTGCCTGTTGTGCAAGATATTTTTGCACGAGTCCAACATACTCTTCCTCCCAGTAGAAGCCTGAACATCGTCCACTGCCATCCCACTGAAATTAAAATAAAAAATTAGAACTTTAATCACAACCATCATGAAAATAGGTATAAACTAACCATAATCATTAAATACGATAAAATAACTCACATTGCGATCCGGACACTTGTAGAAGATATGATCCTTGTTGGGACCCTTCTTCTTCACTCGGTACTCCATCACAATCTTCGTCTCATCACGACACTTGCCGCATGGAATGAGAGGGAGGCCCGGCCTAAGTCGCTTTGGAAACCCATGAGAGGCCGAGGACCGGGAAGCAGCCACATCTACTCTCTATACTCATTTTTTTAATACACTATAAATTTCTCTTTTATAAACAAATAAAATTAAGAAACTATAAAATTATCTAGATCTCTAAACAATGATATTTTTAATGGTCATTGTGTTCTCGCTTTTTTTCACGGCGGGTAAGTAATTCACATGATATTTCTGCAAATTAATGTAAGAATGGGAGTGTACACACATATGTATCATCTGCGACGATATCGGGACGTGTGAATAAATAACCATCCATACTAGTTGACCTTGCTTACGTGATCATCTCGGCGAGCATTTTCTCCACCGGACGGCACCGTGCCAGCCCGCGGAAGAGCTCCAATTCTACGAGGAAGGGAACACGGTCTTCCACGACCGCTGCCGCTCTCCCTCGTAGAATCAAAGCTCTTCCTTGACGTCTGTTACCGCTTCGGCGAGAGAACGTGCTTTCGCCGAGATGAACACGGTCCGCAAGTTCAACTAGTATGGATTTTCTATAATTTTCTAACTATTTTCTAAGTTTATATTTATATATATACTACGTTTGGGTATGGTGATTGACAGACTACTGCGACGATATCAGGACATGTGAATAAATAACCATCCGTACTAGTTGACCTTGCTTACGTGATCATCTCGGTGAGCATGTCTCCACAGGACGGCACCGTACTTGACCACGGAAGAGCTCCAATTCTACGAGGAAGGGAACACGGTCTTCCACGACCGTTGCCGCTCTCCCTCGTAGAATCAAAGCTCCTCCTTGACGTCCGTTACCGCTCGGCAGAGAACGTGCTTGCCGAGATGAACACGGTCCGCAAGTTCAACTAGCTACTTTAACCTTATTTCATGTAAATATGCAAGCTTGAAGTGATTTTGAGCTCAAATTGCTTACAAATGAAAAAAAACCAAAATAAAGAACCATATATATTTATATAGTGAACAAAATGAGATAAGACAATGGTGAAAAATGAGAGTATGAGATTGGTAACCTTTACAACTGAAGAATCGACGGAGGAATTGAAGAAATCGATGGAGGAATCGAATAATGGATGGAGGAACAATGGAGGGAGGGAGGAAGCAAGAACACTACTGCAGTGAGCTTCAAAATGTGCTGAGCTCGGGCTCGGGGAGGAAGGAGGAGCCGGCCGGGATATAAAGGGGGGACCTTTAGTCCCGGCTGGTGGCTCCAACCGGGACTAAAGATAACTTTCCAACCCCGGGCGCAGCCACGGCCCGGGAGTAGACCTTTACTCCCGGTTGGAGCCCCCAACCGGGAGTAAAAGTATACCTTTAGTCCCGGTTGGTGGCTCCAACCGGGACTAAAGGTCCCTGCCACCTCTGTCTGGCGCAGTAGCCGTTGGGGCAGGGACCTTTAGTCCCGGTTGGAGACACCAACCGGGACTAAAGGTATTTCTAATCCCGGGCACAAAAAATTCCGGGACTAGAGCCCATTTTGGCCGAAGATCAAAGACCTGTTCTCTACTAGTGGCATGAGCTGGTTAAGAGGTCCTAATTCTTCTAATCTACACCAATCACCCTCCACGTGGGCAGGAAACCCCTCCAATACCCTTAAATTAGTTAGGCCACTGAAACCCTTGGGTATATTGTTTATACCTGAGCCAAGAAGGCTTAGATACCTCAGCTGACGTAACTTTCCAATGCCCACAGGAAGCTTCGTCAGACTTCCACAGTTAGAAAGGTCAATGCACTGCAAGAATTGCATCATGTCTGTTTTGCCGAGGACTGTTTTGCATAATTCGCGTCTTGGAGACGGGCGTTGTACGTGCCCTTACAAAAGCCACACATAAATATCACTCTTAATGTTGCCCTTACATAATTGCCATAGGAGAGAGAAGAAATCTTACAAGTATTGCAAAAAACGGACATTTTTGCGTGCGTGGCGTGCCAAGTCACGGTGCCAGCGTGGAGACGCATTGGAAAAGACGAAGCTGCCATGCCCTGCACCTGTCTCTCCCTCTCCGACAGCCGGATCCCGCAGCTCCTCTCATTGCCAGGTGTCCCTCTCATCAGCTTTTGCATATAATTCAGGACCAGTACGTCCTGTGTGCTGGTTGTGGTTTGATGTGTAGAAGCTTTGGAATCAACAATGCGATTAATTATTTTTTGTTTTACAGCCACTGTGGCACGTCCGAACGTGTAACTTTTCTATGAACTTATGCAGCATATATGCTTCATATATACGTGGTATTGATGAGTCTGCTATTATCTTGTTTGATGACAGGTTCTGGCCCTTTTCTTAGTCATGTTTCCGCAGATATTATCGTAAACAATGAGATGTCTTCATAATCTTCTTCTGTATTTGTCAGTTATGTCTGGATGATCCAGTTTTATATCACTACAACAGTGTTACTTCTTGGACTGAAACCTGTGTTGTGTATGGCAGTTGTAGGTGTTAGAATGTAAGAATTCATTTCATAGAAGTCAACTCACACTATAACACAACATACCTTTGCTGACACAGTATCGGTTTCTTCCATTGCAAACCTTGATGTGTATAGTTGAACTTCAATCTGTCCTACTACAAGTATCGGTAGTCAAAAGTCAAACCACGACCACGCACGCAAAATGCATCTCCGGACTTCGCCACCCCGGGCGATTGCGGCGCGGCGACCACGGCCTCGTAAACCCCGACGTCCAGCTCCGCCACCCTCCCCACGGCCAGCTCCACCACGCGCTGGTTCATCCTGAACGAGTGCGTCGCGAACGCCGGAGCCACCGCGGCCACCCGCACCACCTCCCCGCCCGCACCCGCACCCGCACCTTCCGCCATCATCCCGCCGGGTATCACCAACTTCACGGCCGTCGCCTCGCCGTACCCGACCTCTGCGGGCGAGCGCTGTCGTGCCGAGGGTCCATGTACGGCGGCAGGAACGCCTCCAGGCTCAGCTCCGGTACGTCACGTTGGCGAACACGTACCCGACGTGCGGGTTGCTGCCGCCCACCAGCACGCGGCCGTACGTGTCCAGCGCCGCCGACGAGTGGTACATCCGCGGCACCGCCGACGCCGCCAGCGGCGACGACTGATCGAACCGCGACCCCAGCGACGCGTCGGGCCTGTACAGCACGGGCCGCGTGACCGGGTCCCGCCCCAGCTCCCACCCGGCGGTGCCCGCCGCGGCCCCGTTCACGATCAGCACGTCGCCCGTGGGCAGCAGCACCATGTCGCCCATCACCCGGGCCATCGGCATCTCCTCGATCGCCCACACCACCGGGTCCGGGTCCGTCGGCGCGACGCGCGCGCAGGTCCGGTCGGCGGCCACGAACGTGCCGTTCCGCAGCGCCAGGTGGTGCGCGCCCCGCGGCGCGCTGCCGCAGACCAGCACCTCGGCGTGCGCGGGCGCGTCGGGGCGGAGCGGGAGGAGCACGGACGAGCCCGACGACGGGTAGTTCCGCAGCACGCCGCCGGGGACGGGCGGGAGGCGGCGGAGCGGGGTGCGGTTGTAGGGGTCGAAGACGACGGCGCGGTCGTTGGCGAAGACGAAGACGGTGCCGTCGGGGAGCATGTGGAGGAACGGGTACAGGTTGTTCTCGGCGTCCGGCTCCGTCGTCTCGTCCAGGAACAGGAAGAACGTCAGCGCCGGCGCGGCGTCGGCGTGCGGGAAGTACTCGAGGTTGAACTGCCTCCGCCCGCCGAGGATGAGCACACGGCCGTCGGGGAGGATCAAGTCGGTGGCGTACCACCGCCGCGCGGCGAGGAACGAGGAGAAGCTGCCGGTCTGGAGGAGCGTGCCGTTGGGGAGCAGCGCCCCGGACGAGCACCACGGGTTGGTGGCGAGCGGGTACGGGTGCAGCACGTTGGAGCGGAGGTCCAGGAGCACCGAGTGCGCCGTGCAGTCGGCGCCGTTGACGGTGGCCGCGCACGGCGCCAGCGCGGCCAGCGAGATGTTGGAGGGGCCCGTGTCGGTGCGGTCGAACATGAGGACGAAGTCCCCCGGGAGCAGCTGCATGTGCATCGCCGACACGCCGATGCTCGCGTGGAGGAGCTGCCATTCTCCCTGGGACGGGGCATCATCGGCGGCGGCGGCATTGGCAATGCAGCTGGCGATCAGGAGAAGGTGGAGAAGGAAGGATCTTGGCTTGGGCATGGCTGGTGAGCATGATCTTTAAGCCTTTTCATGCATCCTTGCAATGTGATAAGCTAAGGTAGGGTGTACAGAGTGTGTTGCATACTTGCATCGCATTGTGACGTTGTGTTGGTGGAGGGTTGGTACAGGGAAGGTTGTGGGGAAATGGGGAATACGCATTTCATGCTTGGAACCGGGTATGCGATTTAAATGATACAAACTTTTTGGACTCAACGGAATTAGGTGAATCTTGCAATTTTTGGACCTGCATTCATTCTGTTGACCAGTGAAAATATTCAGGTTTAGCTACTAATTAGCTGAATTTTTGCCAAAATCTGATCAAGAGGCCGACATAAAGAGGAAACTAATGATTAGGAGAAGTATGCACTTTTACACTGAAGGAAGAACTTGCGAGTTTGTTTGAACTCTAGACTAGACTAAAAGTTCAAATCTTGTCCAACTTTTTGACTGGTGCAATGTTGTTTTAGCCCTCACCGAAATAGGTGAATTTTGCCGAAATTCAGATGTTTCGGACCAAATCCTGGAAACCTCCTGAGATAGAATCACCCAATTTATAAGAGCTCAATTATGATGGCCGGCATCTCGAGGATTAATAGCAGCTACGCACTTGAACTCTATAATCCGGTAGTCTGTTGAGGGTCGAAGGACCAGGATGACACCATCTATCGCAGTCTGGGATAGAGTACAACACATTGATACATAGGGTTACAATAGAAGTGGAGGCTATGTCCAGCGCGAGGACATCGACTTCAAGGAAGTCTTTGCGCTGGTAGCGCGCATGGAGTCTATCTGACTGCTACTGGCTTTGGCAGCAGTGAAGGACTGGCGCGTCCATCACCGGGACATAAAATCGGCCTTCCTCAATGGCGAGCTGGTGGAGACGGTTTTCGCCAGGTAACCTCCAGGTTTCGCTGTTAAGGGAGCGGAGCACAGGATGCTCCGACTGCGTAAGTCGCTCTGCGGGCTACGGCAGGCCCCGTGAGCGTCGAACGCCAAGCTTGACGCCACGCTGGGCAAGTTTGGGTTCACGCGGTGTGCAACCGAGCACGCGCTCCACACGTGGCAACGGAGAAGGAGGAGCTCATCATCAGCGTGTATGTGGACGACTTGATCGCCACCGGTGCGCGTGCGGAGGACATCGACAGCTTCAAGCGTGAGATGGCGGCTCGTTTCGAATGAGCGATCTCGACGCGCTCTCCTACTACCTCGGCATCGAGGTGACACAGGGGAAGGAGGCGCGTATGCCTCGAAGCTGTTGGAGCGGAGCTGCATGGCTGAGTGCAAGCCATGCGTGACTCCAATGGAGGAGCGGCTGAAGAAGACGAATGCCAGTACCGCGGCGAAGGTAGATGTAACACTCTACCGGAGCATCGTCGGCGGTCTGTGCTACCTAGTCCACACGAGGCCGGACATTCTGTTCTCCATGGGCTACGTCAGCCGCTTCATGTAGGATCTCCGAGAAGATCACTGGGCCGCGGTGAAGCGGCTACTGCGCTACGTCAATGGGACGGTGGATCAGGTGATCGTCTTCCCTAGGATCGACGGAAGTGGGCTGTAGCTCACTGTGTTCAGCGATGCAGACACGACAGGGGACATCAACGGACGACGGAGCACCTCTGGCATGCTCGTCTTTCTCGGGTCGGCTCCAATCTCATGGCTGTCGCTGAAACAGAAGGTGGTGGCGCTGTCCACGTGCGTGGCAGAGTACGTGGCGGCGGACACAGCGGCGTGCCAAGCTATGTGGCTACGCCGGCTGCTGGGCGAGCTGACCGGTGTGGAAAGTCACCCACCAACACTGATGGTGGACAACTAGTCTGCCATCGTCCTCGCGAAGAATCCGGTTCTCCACGACCGGAGCAAGCACATCGACGTCAAGTTCCACTTCCTCAGGGACTGTGTCGATGGAGGGCAGATCGTCATCGAGTTCGTCGAAACTGGTCGGCAACTCGTGGACATCCTCACCAAGCCGCTCGGCCGTCTAGCGGTGAAGGACGGACGTGAGGCTTGGACTAAGGGACCAGGAGGCTGGGTGACCAGCCGCGGTGGCTGACATCTGGGGATATCGACAAGCGCAAGTGTACATGGAGGAGTGACCGTGTTGACCGAGTCAAGACGACGCACGTGCAAGTCGAGCGGAGGCGCTGGAAGACTTGGTGCCTGGGCGGTCGAGGACGGAGGTGACATGCGTCGAGTTGCGGGGGACGCGTATGGAATATGCTACTCGCGGACGGTTTGGTGGTTTGGGCCTCAAACCATCGGGCGGACGGTTTTCGGGTTTGGGTCTCAAAACCCGGGTGGAGGTTCCAAGGAGGAACGGGGTGGCACGTGGCGGAATTAGAGAGGTTACGTCGAGGCGAAGCAAATCTGTGCAGGAAGTGAGGCTGTCCGATCGATAGAAATCGGGTTGTACCATAATTTCGCCCTAAAATATCTAGGGGCACAAGTAGAATTGTGTAATAAGCCTATAAATAAGATAGGACTGCCGCCACTCAGTGTCACCTCTTGGACTTTTTCATTTCCTCGTTCTAATCCCCCTCCTAGAGTTTGTTCTTGAGGTCCACAAAATTGAAATTTGTGTAAGCAGAGATTTTGAGTTGGGAATGGAGGCACGAATCCTCCAGTTGTCCTTCAGAATTCATCACTTGTGCCTGTGATTTTCATTTTGTTGCGTTGTTCGTTTTTCTCTATTTTCGTTCTTGGCTACGATCTGAATTTCTCATAGTTTGGGTCGATCACAGGGGATGATTTCTTGAGGATAGATTTGTAGCAATTTGAATTCCATCTTTGTAAATTTTTGGAACGAATGATGGAGATTTGGGTCGTTTTTCTTTTGATTTTCTGGTCGCTCTTTCTCCCTGTTCGTGCCTAGCAGAGGCACTGCTTTTCCTGTTCGTCTTTTGCGTGTGGGGAGACGAGCAACTGAGCACCAGCACCGTGCTCACCAGGCCCGAGCCGGTGCTCGCCCAGAGAGGCCGAAGGCCTGCGCCAAGCAGCAGGAGCCGCGTGCTCCCAGAGCCCGAGCGGCGCTCGCCCAGGTGGCCATCCTCTCGTCGGTCTCCTCCCTGTCTCTACTTCCTTCGGTGCGGTAGCTGTTTCCCTCCGTTCGGCTGTCGGTCCTGATCGTGCGGTGCACCGCTCGGCAGTGTCTGGTGCCCTTCGGTGGTGTCCGGTGCCTGTCAAAAGTGCCGGCCCAATTTCCAGTCTGGCAGGTTCGAATTTCCAGCCCTGTTTTTTTTTTCATCCGTGGTTTGCGCGTTTGTGCTCGGATTTAAGTTCCATTTTTTGCGTTGGTTTTCCATCGATTCAAGGAACTTATCTAAGTATTCTCGTCACCAGTTGGCATGGACATTTTAGATTTGAGAGCTTCTTTTGGTTTGCTTTGTTTGGCGGTGATTTGGGGACAGCGGCTAAATATTTCGAGAGAAATTTTACGGCTTCCATTCACCCCTCTCTGGTCACCGTTTTCGGTCCTTTATATTGCTAGTAATTTAAATATCTAAAAAAATAAAAGGAGCCTCGTTAGGAAGCTGCATTCTCATGGCACTGGCAGCATATATATATATATATATATATATATATATATATATATATATATATATATATATATATATATATATATATATATATATATATATATATATATATTTAGTTTAACAACCTACGTACATTTTCAGGCTCACAATGAAACCGCAAGCCGGAATAAGCTGTATCATAACATTTGTTTTGTAACATGACGACTCACAACTTAATTATATGTACAAGGCTCTGTATTCTCAGGTGGTAACCTGCATCCACAGTAACACAGATTCGAATAAAAAAACTAATTCACATCACATCGCATTCTAGTCACCATGAATTTATTTGCAGTGTCCAACATCTGACTGCCTCACGACGACCCGCAGCGTAGTAATCGGCTCCATTGCTTCTTCTTCGGCCGAAGCGATGATAGCTCCAGCCTCCAAGGCTGCTTTTTGTCCATGCGGCACTCCACCTGCAGGCGAGGTCTTTTATGCATTCTATAATCGATAGTGCTAGAGACGTATGTAGTAATAATAATAGTCTTGGAGTAGCATGCATACTTTATTGTTACTCCCTCTGTTGTTCCACGATGAATTCCCTTCAAACTTGCTCCACTTTGTCCAATAACACCTCCTCTGTTTCATCCCCTGAAACGGACCGTCTAGTGAAGTAACCAGATATTCCAATAGCAAGAAAGGTGCTCAGTATATGCAACGTATAAAGCAGCAGTGTTGTGTTAATTTACCTGAAGCGTCGGCAGAGGGGCTGATGTTTGTCTTGAAGCTGAAAGGATCTCTCGTGTACTTCATGTACCACTTCCTTTCAATGTTGTTGTCATCATCATCTGCATGTGCCTTGACCTGCTTGATATGGCTGAACTTGTCCCACTCAGGGCTAGATTTCCCTTTACCTATGGAAGCGAGCAGTGAGACATCACAGTCTAGAAGTAAATCCCTTGGGTTTACGTCCTTCAAGTATCCAGGGAGTGTTTTCATGTCGTAGTCCTCCAGTCCGACTTTCTGAAGTGCAGGCAAACCCTCCAATACCTTCAACTCTGGGCATCTTATGATCACGAGGTTCTGCAAATTTGGCAGATTGCTGATCCTCTCTAGTCCATGACATCCTGTCACCAAAATTTTCTCCACAGCGCTTGGGTGGTCATGATGGTGTGGTAGTAAGAACTCTGGCCCAACACGCTTGATGCCTGGGGCGTTTCTAATCTGTAGTAACTCCAAGCTGGGGAGCTGCCACAAGCCATCAGGTAGCTCTGTGCAATAAGGCAAGTCTTCCATGAATAGAATCCTCAAGCATCCAAGGGACACAATTGCTGTCGACGTCATCCACTGTGAAAGTCGTTGACCAAAGTACCCTTCGATTGCTAGAGTTTCTAAGCAAGGTGGAGGGCAGAGCTCATCAAACACCTTCTCGATTTGTTGCTGCTCTTCCTGTTTCACCAACCGGTGAGCACCTCCACTTCTACTAGTGCACTGTAAGCGCAGATAGCTGAGGTGCACCTTTTCACAAGCTTAACCTTTATAGCAAATGTGGAATAAGATACATTCTTCAGGCCACGAATATCAAGACTCTTGAGCCGGTTAAGAGGTCCTAATTCTTCCAAACTACACCAATCACCCTCCACGTGGGCAGGAAACCCCTTCAATACCCTTAAATTAGTTAGGCCACTGAAACCCCTGGGTATATTATTTATACCTGAGTTAAGAAGGCTTAGATACCTCAGCTGTCGTAACATTCCAATGCCAACAGGAAGCTTCACCAAACTTTTACAATTAGTAAGGTCAATGCACTGCAAGAATTTCATCTTGGCTATTTTTTTTGGCAGCCTAGATGTGTTAGTGCCATGTAGGCACAAATACCTCAAGTGTTTGAGTTGGGCCAAGGATTTAGACAATGCATCAAAATTTGCATCTTTTAATGTAGGGTCCGCAAACATTTGACAGTGAATCACCTGGGTTGATCTTAATTTTCCCACCAAAAATTAGTGTTCGTAGGATATATGTCCAGAGAACTCCAAACATGGAAAACTGGATGACAGTGAATCACCTGGGCTTGATCTTAATTTCTAAATCACGTGAGTTTCCCACCAAAATTAGTAAGTTCGTAGTGATATAATCATTTAGCATTTTTCCAGTCGCTTCGCCTTATGTTTTTCTGAGGAGACTCCATTTGACTGCGAGTTTTTTGCTATTTGACTCTGATCCTTTGTTTTCTAGATATGTTAATTGAATGGAATATGTAGATATAAATACACTTGGTCATAATCGGATGCAAAATCAAGTGCTAAAAAACGATACTGTGTGCAGAGGCAAAATTCACATGCGACGTTCTAAGCGTATGACCGATGTACCAGTCCACTAAAATAGATGGAAAAATCATCGTATATGGATATCACTACGGTGCAATTAGGTGACGTCTGTGACTGTGTACAAGAATAGTGTTCTCATCAGTCACTATCATTACCAACTCTCGTCTGCCCGATGTTTATAGTCACTCCAGTATTTATCGTATCTTTTATTTATTTTTTTCTTATTTTATTAAAAAAGGTTGTACAGTACGCCAGACTACTTCTCACTGCCAAGTACTGACAGTGATAAGTGATAAAAAAGCACAAAATGTACGCCAGATTACTGCATCTTCACTGCCGGTAACCGACAATGACAGTATTTAAACTCAAGATCTCAACATTCTCTGAGCATCTATACCAGCAGAGCTATACAACACTTGTGACTATACAACTGATGCTATTCTTTTAACTACACAATTTTGAATCTTATATTGCATATTTGATACTCTAAATGATCTCAAATGAAAAGGTTGTTAGCTGCAAAGTTGTAGATCGATCTCATCGACTACTAACTCTACTATTGACTTTGTCTCCATTCGACATCATTAACCATATCAAATCCCATTGGACTTACATAGAATATTTTAATATGTAAACCATCTTAAATTAAAAAGTTGTTAGCTATAAAGTTTTAAATCTTTTTGAACGTATAAAGCTTATCTTATCAAATAACATATGAAAAAGTTATTACTTTTTCGTAAAATAGCCTATCACTGCTGGTTGTAGCCACAAACCGGCCATGACGGGTGGTCCTTCACTGGCTATAACCAGAAGTGATAGTACACTGCCTGTCACTATCACTTGTAGCCACGATTCGTTCGTGAAAGTTCATCTATCACTGTCAGTTGTACTATCACTACCGGTTCCAAAGCAACCAGCAATGATGGTCTGACAATGATGGCCTGTGTTTGCGGTAGTGCTAGGTCCTATGCTACCCACTTGCCTATTAATAATGGTATGAACTATCATGTCAGCCTGCACTATGGCACTTAAGGCCATGTTTTCATGTTGTAGTATTAAGAGACGTAGTATTAAGAAACACGATTTTAGAACCTATAGATGTGGTAAACCATGATTTAGCAACAAAGAGGTCTAGATATGAGTTTATAAAACTCTAAAGAGACTACAAATTTAGCAAAACTCTGGTTTTCAAAACCATAAAATTTGTTGCATCAAAACACTTCATACAACTCTAATAAAATCAAAGTATTTCATAAAAGCATGGTATTTTTCTAAAACTCCAAAAATACATCTGCATCCAAACAGGGCCTAAGATTTTGAACTTGCTACATTCGAAAATTGTATATGTAGTAGAAGTATTATTTTTATAAAAATATAGAATAATCAAAATTAAATTACCAGTGTCGATATGACATAGTATTTGAGTAAAATTTTATAAAATTATTTGAAATAAAAACTTATAAACTTTTTTGTCATGCCATAGTAATGTAATTTAAAATAAATTATCAGTGTCATTTATATGTGGTTTGTTAAGTAACAGTTTAGTACTTGATGATCTATTAACTAAAAATATCCTAATGTATGTATGTTTGATTGGTCGATATATTAACCCAACTTTATGTTAATAACCGAAATGTATAGCATGGATCATGGAGGATGCAAACTATACAGCCACGATGTTGTCAGAAATTGGTCCTGCTATCGGCCAGGTTGAAGGTGAAAGAAGGAACCCGAGAAACCAGAGGATTTATTTTAACGAACATCTGTCCCTGCTGATGGTTCAGTAATTAACTAATCGGTCCCAATACAAGCCTACATGAAGCTAGTCCTCGTTTGAAACCCAAAGATTGGGTATATGATCCTAGAAAATAAATTCGTCCCTTTGTGACATTTGGTTTATTTTTTGATTCCAATTTGACACTATATGTTCAATTTCGTTGCAACTTATCATGAGATTATTCATAAAAGGACCAAACACCCTGGTAGAAAAAACGAATGGACGGAAGTCAATTATTAGGATCCAACTGGAAAGGTTATTAAAGTCTGCACATCTTGACCTGAAGAAGCTACGTTTTTTCTCCCTTATTCATACTCTCTTGGATGCAGGTAAGCCTAATGTGATATCCCTTGTATCCTTAGCTTTTTAACCATTCTAGAGATGAGACAAGTGAGGCAAGTTACATGGACAATTACTCAAGTGTCTATGGTAAAACCTGTCAATCAGGATATATGCCAAAGGCCCCGTGAGTACTTTTCCTAACTTTTTACGCCATGTTCAGAATAGAACTTTAAATCATTGGTTTTATTTTCGCATGTTTACAGGATCTTGTAAAATTATAATAGTTTGAAAAGGTTGTTAGAGAAAAGGATAAAAGTTACATATGTTATATGTTATTTTAATGTCTAACTCGATGAGATATTTAAAAAGTTACACTCCTATCACCTAATAATAGGACTTCTGAAAATTTAGAACAAAATAAATTAGGCAACAAGAGAAAGCCTAACATTCCCATCATTAAACAGTAATGTCCAGTCCTGATTGGCTTTAATAGTACAGGCTATAAATTGCTGATTCTTTATCAGACCGTGGAGGATGGGACTTGGTCTTGGAGATATTAAACCTAAGCACCAGACGCCCTTTGCAACGAAAGGATACAGTAGAGTAAAAGTTTAGAAATCTTAATCTCATGACCATCTAAAGAGTTGAGGCTCTCAAAAAAATCTATAGAGTTGCGACCACAAGTATTAGTAACAATGTAATAATGCTTGTACATGAGCTCTTACGAAACTTCACAAGCACCTACAGTCATTTGTGTAATGTAAGAATTTTTTTTAAAAAAAATATTACTACATGTTACTAACTTTATTATTGTTTGTAGTTTACGCTTATTCCTTTTAGGCTTTTATTTCGCCTGTTCTTTATCATGTTCTGTGTTCATGATTCTTTAATGACATTTCACTACTATAGAAATGGATTTCGCCAACACTATTTTGATACTATTAGAAACATCGATAAAAACATATCACCTCCGATAATTGAACCGTTGATAAAAATGGCTTTCACCACCATTTGTGGCAGTGAAAACCGGTTTTGAGTATATAGCCGGCCAGAAACCCTAGCCCATTCTCACTCTCTCACCGACACCCCACCTACTGACCACCTCTCTCTCCCTTACTCAAGCACTTCCTTCCGCCCCCTCTCTCCCTCACCAGCACTCCCTCCGGGCCCCCTCTCTATCCCATTTTAGCACCGCGAGCCGAAGATCGGATCTGCCATCGGCGCGGGGGCAGACACCACCCATGGCCCTCAACAGCATGGCGGACGCCGCCCAACATAGAGATGGACCTCGATGTCACAATCCTGTTCGCTAGGGGCAGCTAGCATAGACCATCATGGACGACTGTAGGCACACATGACACGTGTATTTTTTAATTATTTTTATTCAACTTTCAATATCGGTTTCAATGTGGTGGTGATGAAGGTCAGCATCACCGCCGAATCGCAAAACCGGTGGTGATGGTGGTTGTCAAGCAAGCGGTGATAATGTTTTTGTAATAGTGTTTTGAAAGTGGTTTACAGACCCTAGATTTCTAATAGTGTTCGCAGGACCAGGACCGTCTGCCCGAGCCCCGAGCAGCCGAGCGACATCACCGGCCGCTCCCACCCTACCCCCACCCCCACCCCCACCCCCACGATCTCACCGCATCAATCCCACTCCGACGCCAGTTGCACAGTTTTCTTCCGATCCACCTCCTCGCCGGCGCTGGCCCCCACCCCGTCCTGCAGCTACGGTTCCCACCCAGCACCACCGTCAGCCGTGCTCGCCGAAGCCCCCGCGAGCACCGGCGGTGACACTGCGAGCTGCACAGGGTGGGCGACGGGCGCAGTTGCGGATCTTTGGACGCAAGCTTCCCCAGTGTCGCCGCCTCCACCTCGCCCTGCAGGAGTCGCATCGGCGCCACCGCCTGCCCCCGCCCCCACGGCCACCTTACCCCCCGCAGCCTGCTGCATCAGACAGAAATTAAAGGACTTGCAAGCCCACCTTGGCTCGCCGCCCCTGCGAGCTCACCTGGCTCCGTCGTGCTCCCCTCACCCATTAGCTCTCCGCCGCCACGGGATGCGACCGAGAAGTCCCAGGTGAAGGCGGACAGTCTTACTCAGTCGGTGGCAGCGCCGGTTACTGATGCTTTCCCGCGTAGATGGAGGCATCTGGTCCTTCAGGTATCCCTATACCCTCCTTCAGTTTTGGAAGCGTAACATTCTGTCGTGTTCGTCCTAATAAGGAATTTTATGTTCAACATTAGGTTCCCATTTGATTTTAGGTTTGATCTGTATGTCTCGTGTGGTTTTATTTGACCAGCTGATGGTACGCTGGGATTTTTTTTTGTGTTCTGCATCAAAGTCCAATTATTGTAACTGATGACTCCATCAGCCTCTTTTTGCATAGGGAGCTGCTGATAGGCCGGATCCCATGGACACCAGTGTTGGCGGAAGG